GGTACCTAGAGATTCATTCAAGAGTAATGTCTTTCAATTTGATAGATTTTACTTATATAATCACAATTATGACAACAAATTATTTCTGAGACCCAAATTTTCTGGCCTTCAGTTCTTTTTTTCAACACAACCAAAGTCCATCCATTTCTTTCAAAGAGTCTTAAATTCCCCATTATGAAGTAGAATATTACAAATACAGACTCATTCAATAGGCCAAATCATTTTTTAAAAATCACAAAATCACATATTTTTCACCATGACACTAAGTACTTTTTCTCTGTTCCTCTGTGTTTCTGTATTTAAAAGGTGAGGGTAATTTTTGCTGTCCCATAGGAGTTTAGAGAGAATGATTGTTAAAAAGCTACTTCAATTGAATTCATTATCAATTGTTGAAAAGACCCTGTTTAGAGTTTAAAATTAAAAAAAAAATTTTTTTTAAGAGTAGGAACTAGTCCTGATTCTAGAAATTAATTTGTTGAGTGAAGTTTCACACTTAATCTTTGCCTTAGCTGCGACTTCTGAAGCATGATCTATAATGCCTCGAATCACCTTTGTACTCTGGAATGGGGTTGGGGAGGTCATGATTTTGAGATTCCAGCCTCTAAAGTTTTGGGATTTTTATATTTTCTGCTTTTGTCTTGACCAGGCCTTCTCTTCTTGTCTTGGAATGCAAGGGCTAGATTAACGGTAGCTGTCAAGCAGCAGTAGGGCTACTGAGTATGAAAAGTATATTCAGGGACCTGGGCTGTTTGTGAGAGTGTGGGTCAATGGGGAAGAAAGGCGGAGGCCGTGGTAGGGGGTCCAGGTTGGGAGAGACTAGACGGTTTAATGAGGCCCAATCTGTGGAGCGGTTCCTCTTTTCTTTCTTTCTTTCTTTTTTTTTTGAAGGAACAGGAGATGGGGTATCGAATCATTTTAGGGTTGTGAAAAGAACTGGTGAGACCTTGAGCCAATCTGTGAGTGGAGGGCGGACGGAGAGGGAAGACAGGTCTGGCCGGGGGCGGGACGCTGAGGCCCTGGGATTTCAGACTGTCGCAGAACGGGCTGCCTTGGCTCCCAATCTGACTCAGGGTTCCCAGGGTGTGTCGGGGATGCTGACAGAATATGAGAGACGAAGGGAAAAGGCGAGGTCTCGGTGTTGGAGAGGAAGTGGGGGAGGCCACCTCACCTCTTCGTTCTCTCCGAGCTGGTGGCGATGGTTCCGGTTGTTTTTTCTCGTTGCTGGGTGACCGTTAAAAAAACAAAAACCAAAAAACTACGGCGGCCGTGAAGGGGAGAAGAGCGGCTTCGCGGACTGAAGGTGCAGGAGAGGGTGGAGTCGGCCTTCCCAGGCCCCGCCCCACCCCTTATGGCTCCGCCCCCCGCCTCGAGTGCTCTTCCGGAGTCCGACGCGTTAGTGACGGACCCTCGCGAACATGGTGGTGCCGGGATCTGTACTTGGGCTGCTGCTGCCATTAGTCCTGTGGGCTGACAGAAGCGCAGGTGAGGCGGCCCGGCTTGGCCGGACCCCTGCCCCTCAGCCTGCGACGGCTCCGAGGTCCCGCGCCCCCTCTCGAGGAACAGGGCTGAGGAGCCAGCTTCTCTGACCGTGCAGGCGTCGCTGGGCCGGACCCCTCGAGGGAGAGTTCGGTTTTTCCGAATAGGGAGGCCCAGATGTCCCCAGACCGAGGCCCTCAGTGTCTTGGAGTAACGGCGGGGGAGTTCGGAGGGAGGGAGCGGAGCTAGTTAGATAATATTTGGAAACAGGTGACTGAGTCATCCAAAACGTTTCAGCGCTGCCCCCTCAGTGGTGCCCTTAGGGAGAGTTTGCTTCAGGCTGGGTTCCTTGGGGGAATTAAGTTTTACTAGTTTAAGTGGTTATTAGGGCTAAGAAATGCAACCGCCTCATTAGCTCAGAATATCTAAGGCTCAGCTTTGATTTCTGGTGCAGCTTACAGATACTGGTGGTGGGATAATATGCGTGGCACTGGGGAGTAGGGTGACTCACATTGGCTATTGTGCAGGTCAGATCCTGTCACTTGAATATGGTTCTGTCATTTGAATACCCCAAAGATCCCTCTTAAGAAATGAAAGTTGATGTAAAAAAAAATAAAAAAGAAATAAATCGAAGTTGATGAGAGAATGGCGAGCAGGTAAATGACTACTGCTCGACCTAAGAACTCGAAAGTACCAGGATTCAGACAAAAGGCAGCTTATAAATGGTTTTTCAGAGTTTAACAGAAGCGCAGACTAATAGCACTCTGTGCGTCATTCTCTGACTCTCATTCCTAGTCAATGACCTTTGAAGTCCATCATTATGAGATGGGGAGAAGGTAAAGAGGAGAGTAGGGCCATTATTTTATTAGTTTTTTTGTTAAAAGCTGTTAACTTTAATATCAGTATTCTCCTCTTTTGGGTAATATTATTACATCACTTTCATTAACATTGACTACATTTTTCATTGATTAGTGCTTTAAATTTTCCTTCTTACTCGATTGCATATCCTGATATTTTTAAATTATTCGTCTTGTGCCCATGTTTACCATGTAATATTTGAGATATACACAATTATGTGTAACAAGGAAACAATGAAATGAACACGCATGAGCGTACCACCCAACTTGAGAACCAGAACACTGCCAGTTTTATTGAGAACAATGCATCCACCAATTCACCACCAGAGGTAACCAACTGCCCTAATTTTCTTAGGCCACTTTTGATGATGGTCTCTTCCTCACAACACCAATTCCTGTTTTTGTACTCCAATCTCCAAATGAAGGAAAAAATTGAAGACCTAAAAAAAAAAAAAATTCAAATGTTAAATGCGTCTTGTTTTTGACACATGGAATTACCAGTCTCTCTCTTTCTTCTTCTTTTTTGTCCATTGCTCAATTCCTTGGTAATGTTCCACTGTCTAATCAGCTTAGAATTTGAGATTTATAAGGACAGGGAATATGATATATCTTTGATTTATTACCAGTGTCTAACTGTGGCAAACTGTCAATTACAATAACTTTGGAATCAGGTGACTTAGTTTCTAGCCCTGTCATAAACTACCTATGTGATTTGAGGCCAATCAAAGAAGTTTAATGTCTGCAGTGTGTTTAGCATTGTGCCTGCCACAAGCAAGCTCACTAGTAGAATGTAATCTCCCTGTTGGCAAGGACTTTTGTCTTTTGTTATTTTTTTGTTTTTTCTTTCACTATTATATCCCCAATGCTTAAAATAGTGCCTGGCACATACTAGGCATCAGTAAATAAAAATCTGTTTAATTAATTAATATGCAAACTAGTTTTAAAAATGCTTAATTTACTTGGATCTCAGTCTTTTGATCAGTAATATGATCATACCATGATTATAAAGTTTCTTGGATCTCAGTCTTTTGATCAGTAATATGATCATACCATGATTATAAAGTTTCTTTCTACCTGTTAAATTCTTTAGCCCAGCATAGAGCCATGCACAGAGTTTAAGTGTGTGTTGATGAAAACAGACTGACTTGAAAAGTATTTCCCCCAGTCTATGGGCTACTGGCTGTGTACACAAATATGTAAGCAGCAACCAGTTTTCTTCACTCCATTTCACTACCCCCTCCCTGTCTCTACTTAGCTCTTACTTTTGCCTTTGGTTTTCAGTTTGCATTCCGTATGAAGCACCTACCCAAGACAAGGCCTTCCCACACTTGTGTCTTCTCCTTCCCCCCATCAGGCTGCCTACCTGCTTATGTAATTCTGGGGTTTTGTGGTCTCTTAGAGTATTTTGCTCCTGGTACCGTAGGCCTTCTGGGTGATCTTTGATTGTCATGTAGGTTTCATGATCAAACTTGCTAATAAGAGAGAGTTGAGGATTTTTAGGAACTGGACTTTTATTCTGAGAGTAGGATAAATAGGCCATGGAGCTTGCATAGGAGAATCCATTAGCTGTACTGCCCTGTTAAGTATAGCCCTAGGGGCCAACATCATTTGTAGCTTCCAGGGAGGAAAATGTCAGCCTTGTTAATTCTGATTCTTTTTTCTTCCTATCATTTTTATTTAAAACCCTTTTTAAAAATCTTGATTTTCGTAATTGTTTTCTTTTAGAGCTTTTTTTGTCTGTTTTGCTCAGATTGGGACATGTATTTTTTCCTTGTTAAGTTTTGATGAGGAGCTCAATGAGTTAATTGTATCAATGCTTGTTATTAATAAAATACTTTGATATAGGTTGGATGTTAAAAATAGGAATGATCTTGTTAAAATGAGTTCTTATTCAGTCTTATTAGTGACTCTGGAATACAATCCACAGTTTCAAGTGTGCTTCCTCCTTTTTGTATAATTTAGCTTGTGAAATGGATAAAATCATGACAAAAGACCTTCATTCAGACATTTTGGCCTTCTGTCTCTCACTGGCCTTATTTTTGTGTCTTGATTTATCTAAATTTACCTGAGAAGGATGCAGACTTGTTGCAGATATTCTTAAATTTTTATTTGGAATTTTTGGTGCTGGGTCATTGTGTTAGTTCATTTCTGTTTATAACAAAATACCTGGAACTGGGTAATTTGTAAGGGAACAAAATTTATTGCTTACAATTTTGGAGGCTGGAAGTCCAAAGTCCAGGGAACACATCTGGTGAGGTAACTCTACAGTAATGCAGGGTGTCACATGGTGAGAATGGTGGAGCAGAGAGAGATTCACGTGCTCTCCTTTTAAAGCCCTCAGAACCAGGGCCATGACCACCATTAAACCATCAACTTAATCACCTCTTCAAGGCCCACCTTTCAACTACCACAATAGGATTTCCTACCCTCTTAACTGTCACAGTGGAGACCAAGCCTCCAGCACATTCAGGTTTTGGGGGAACACAATTTAATCCATAATAGTCATCAAAGAACCATACCAAGGGGAATTATTTGAAGGAAATTAACATTGGTAGGATGGAGAGGGGGAGACAAAGGGGGGAAAAAGATTAGAGGAGGCTGTGTTGGAGAGGCATACCTCTCTATTCCTGGCTACTAGGGATAGGTGTGGTAATGGAAAGTTGAGGAAGGAAGTGGTTTATTTTTCTCATAAACAGTATAAGACAGTGTGTGGAGGAGGCAAAGCTGAACTTACTGGATGCAGGCAGGCATGTTTAAGGCTGGGTCTTAGAGGTGGCCATACAGCTTTGGGATGTAGAAGTGAGAGCAAGATGGGTGAGGAGGTTATGGGGTAGGGTGGGGGTGCAGGGTGGGGGGGGTGGAGTTAATACATGAGTTGGTGGTTTGAGCAATGGCTAGAATGTATATGGGACAGGAAAGCTTGTGGAATATTATGGGCCCTTGAAACCACAGGGCATATGAAAGGAGCATTTTAGTGATTTAGGGGGAGAAAGTCAAGTGTTAGGGCCAAGCCTGAGAACAAAGGAAAATCAAGAGCTCCGAAGGAGAGGGGAGGAGGCCCACGGTACATTGGCTGATTTCCCTGCTCTTTGAGTTTTCCTTAGTGATCATCTAGTACAATGATGCCTAATGTTGGAAACTGTTCTTGTTATGCTGCTTACCTAATTAGGAGGAATAAAATCTAGTTTTAAAAGATTAAAAGGACTGAGTATATTCAAATTGTCTTGTATAAAGACTGTATGTGGGCCGGCCTGTGGCTCACTCGGGAGAGTGCGGTGCTGATAACACCAAGGCCCCGGGTTCGGATCCCATATAGGGATGGCTGGTTCGCTCACTGGCTGAGCGTGGTGCTGACAACACCAAGTCAAGGGTTATGATCCCCTTACCGGTCATCTTTAAAAAAAAAAAAAAAAAAAAGACTGTATGTTACCTGCTGTTTCACCTGATGTATTAGGTGCTGAATTTCCCTGATGATGCTCCTCTAAGTGTTTGCTAAATTTTTAGGTATTGGTTTTCGCTTTGCTTCATACATCGATAATTACATGGTGCTGCAGAAGGAGCCTGCTGGGGCAGTGATCTGGGGCTTTGGTATGCCTGGAGCCACAGTGACAGTGACCCTGTGCCAAGGTCAGGAAACCATCATGAGGAAAGTGACCAGTGTGAAAGGTAAGGCAGCTCATCCTCTGTTCAACTATGAGGGTGCTTCAAAAAATTCATGAAAATATTAGTATCATTCATTTCTATTTTTTCACAAGCTTTTTGAGGTAGCCTCTTATTGTCTTCTTCTGCCCCCTGCTGGATCATCTGAAAATGAGTGCTTATGCTTCAGCTCATCTGTCCATCTGTCCATCCATGCATCTTCCTTCCTTAAAAGTTGTTTGAGTATTTACCATGTGCTAGGCACTGAAGACACAAAGAAAAATAAGACTAAGTCAAAGTCCCTGT